AGCCAGCTCGGCGAGCAAGTCAACAGCCTCACATCAAGAGCTTGTCAAAACTGACTAACTGCACGTATTAAGGAACAGCGTGTGTAAAGGGTGTCAAATAAAGATTTATAAACTGCTTTTAATATTAAAAAGTGCTTCCAAGAGAGAACAAATGCAAAAAAAAACAAGCCAAAGAAATGAATAAACATAGCAGATAGCAGCAGGAAGGAGCTATTTAGCCTATTAAGCGTGTTCTGCCATTCATTATGATCATGGCTGATCCAAAAGATAAATTAGCAAAAGTGAGTGATAGCTTTCACTAATTTCTGAGTGTTGGAATTCTTTATCTCAAGATCTGCAAACAGACAAACAAATAGAACACATGGATTTAGTGAGTCAGTGACAGTGGAAAACTGCAAATTTTATTTAGTTGCATTGTGTCAAAGTCTGGCTGTGTTCAAATTTCATCAACTGAAGTTATACTGGTCAAAACCTGTCAAAAGCAGTAAAGGGAATTGCTGAAAGAACTGAGTGGTGAAATGAGTGGTTTTGGTCTTAAGTCCCCTTATTACTTTCAAAAACAGCTTGAAAATTGAATTAAACCAACCTTTGATTTTTGAGGTAAACATTTTGTGAATAAAATTGATTTGGTTTTTCATTTGTTTCCTATTTCAGCATTATTTAGTCTCTCCAAATTAAGGTTATTCACAGCTGACCTGAACACTGTCTTGAAACATTTTAATTATTGCCAATAGAATGAACAGTTATGTTTTCACTCCTTTTTTGACTGTAACCTTGTAACCTCTCCAGGTACCCTGCTCAATTCCTTTTTAAAATTATTTATCAAGTCAGCTTCTACCATCTTTCCCAATAAAACTTTTCAAATTTCGATAACTTTCCAGGTGAAGAGGTTTCTCCTAAACATGTAACTGTTAGATACATGGCAGAAAATATAAACCATTCTGCTCAATCAACACGTGCAGATTTTTCTAAATCATTTATGGCATGTCAGCACTGATGGCTGGGCCAACATTTATTCTCCATGCCTAGTTCATCTTCAGACGGTCAGAAGTCACATGATGCCAGACTATAGTCCAACAGGCTTATTTGAAATCCCTTCAGGAGAGCTTCTCCTTCATTGAGCGGTTAATAGCCTTTGGGGAGTTTGGAAGTGAGCTACTTACTGCAAGATTCCTCACTTCTGAACTGCTGTTGTAGCCATTGTATTTATATGGCTAGTCCAGTTGAGTTTCTGTTCAGTAGTGACCACCACAATTTTAATAATGACAGATTTTTCTTGTTGGAAATAGTAATTACCAGGCATTTGTATGACACAAATGTTACTGGATATTGGCTAGGTCTTGCTGCATTTGGACATGGGGTGCTTCAGCATCTGAGGAGTCGCAAATAGTGCTAAACATTGTGTAAACATCAGTGAACATCCCCACTTCTAGCCTTATGATGGAGGGATTGACATTGATGAAGCAGCTGACGATGGTTGGGCTGAGGATACTAGCCTGAGGAACTTCTGCAGAGATGTCCTGAGGCTGAGATGTCTGATCTCTCAATGCCTCAGATTTCCCTGATTCTCATTGGTTCCAGTTGTGCTTGGCCTTCTTGATGACACATTCAGTCAAATACGGCCTTGATGTCAAGGGCTGTCACTCTACCCCACCTCAAGAATTCAGCTCATTTGTCCATGTTTGAATCATGTTCGATCACTTTACTAATGATCAAGAGTATACTGATGTGGTGGTAATTGGCCAGGTTGGATTTGTTATGGCTTTTGTGGACAGGACATTCCTGGGCAATTTTTGACCTTTCCAAGTAGATGCCAGTGTTGTAACTGTATTGGAACAGCTTGACTAGGGGAACATCAATTTCTGGAGCACAAGTCTTCAGTACTATTGCCGGAATGTTGTCAGGGGCCATAACCTTTGCAGTATCCAGTGCCTTTAACATTTCTTGTTATCAGGTGGGGTGAATCAAATTGGCTGAAGCTAGGTATCAGTGATGCAGGTGACCTCTGGGGGAGACAAAGATAGATCATCCACTTGGCCTTTCAGGCTGAAATTTCATAGATCATAGAATCCCTACAGTGTGGAAACAGGCCCTTCAGCCCAACAAGTCCACACTGATCCATCCCCCTATAACCCATCTAAGCTCCATATCCCTGAACACTACGGTCAATTTAGCATGGCCAATCCACCTAGCCTACACATCTTTGGACTGTGGGAGGAAACCGGAGCACCCGGAGGAAACCCACGTGGACGCGGGGAGAATGTGCAAGCTCCACACAGAGTTGCCCCAGGGTGGAATCGAACCCGAGTCCATGGTGCTGTGAGGCAGCAGTGCTTATCACTAAGCCACCATGCTGCCGTACTTGTTAATTCAGTCAAAAGGCAAAAAAAAGAAGCAGATGTAAGGTTTAGGAAGCTAAAATCGAACAGGGCCCATGAGGAATATAAAGAAAGCAAGAAGGAACTGAAGCAGGGAATTAGGAGAGCAAGAAGGGGCCATGAAATGACATTAGCAAGTAATGTTAAAGAGAATCCTAAGACATTCTATACATGCATTAAAAAGAAGTGGATAACTAGGGAGAAAGTAGGACCCGCAAGAGTAAAGAAAGGAACTTGTGCTAGGAGGCAGAGAATGCGGGTGAGATCCTAAGTGAGTACTTTGTATCAGTATTCACCCAGGAGAAGGATATGGAGGATAGTGAGGTTTGAGTGGAGCATGCTAATATGCTATGGCATTTTGAGATCAAGAAATAAGTGGTGCTGGGTCACTTGAAGAGCATTAAGGTGGATAAGCCCCCAGGGCCTGATGGTATCTACCCCAGGTTTTGAGGGAGGCAAGAGAGGAGATTTCTGGGTACTTGATGAAGATCTTTGTATTCTCATTAGCCACTGGAGAAGTCCTGGAGGACTGGTGAGTAGCTAGTGTTGTTCCTCAGTTCAAGAAAGGAAATAGGAATAATCCAGGAAGCTACAGACTTGTGAGTCTCACATTGGTGGTTGGGAAGCTAATGGTGAAAATTCTGAGGAATAGGATTTGCATGCATTTGGAAAAACAAGGCCAAGTTAGGGACAGTCAGCATGGCTTTGTGCAAGGCAGATCATGTCTTACTAACTTGATTGAATTTTTCAAGGAGGTGATAAAGGTGTTCAATGAGGGTAAAGCAGTGGATGTTGTCTATGTAGATTTTAGTAAGGTTTTCCACAAGGTCCTTCATGGTAGGATCATCATGAAGATGCATGGTATTCACGGTGACTTGGCCACGTGGATTCAGAATTAGCTCGCCCATAGAAGGCAGAGGGTAGTGGTGGAAGGGTGTTTATCAGGCTGGAAGTCCATGACTAGTGATGTTCTTGCAGGGATCTGTTCTGCGTCCTCTGCTGTTTATGATACATATATATAAATGATTTGGATGAAAATGTAGATGGGTGAGTTAGTAAGTATGTAGATGATACAAAGATCAGTGGAGTTGTGGATAGTGTAGACGTTGTCAAAGGAGACGGGGGATATAGATCAGTTGCAGATATGGGTGGAGAAATGGTAGATGAGGTTTAATCTGGGTAAGTGTGAGGTGCTGCACTTTGGGAGATCAAATGTTAAGGAAAACTGTACCGTTAATGGCAGGACCCTGAACAGCATTGATGTACAGAAGGACCTTGGGGTTCAAGTCCATAGCTCCCTGAGAGTGGCCATGCAAGTAGATAGTGTTGTAAAGAAGGTGTATGGCAGACTGATCTTTATTGGTTGGGGAATTAAGTACAAGCGTCAGGATGTTATGTTGCAGCTTTATAAGACTTTGGTTAAGCTACACTGAGAGCACTGCTTTCAATACTGGTCGCCACATTACAGGAAGGATGTGTAGGCTTTGGAAAGGGTGCAGAAGAGGTTTACCAGGATGTTGCCTGATTTAGAGGAGAGGCTAGAAAACCTCAGGTTGTTTTCTCTGGAGCAGCAGAGGCTCTTGGGAGACTTGATAGAAGCCTATAAAATTATGAAATGTATAGTTAGCATTGACGGTTAGAATCTTTTTTCACAAAGTTGAAATGTTTAAAACTAGGGCGCATGCATTTAAGGTGTGGGGGTAAAATTTAAAGGAGATGTGAGGGGCAATTTTTTTTTCCACAGAGAGTGGTAGGAGTGTGGAACACACTGCCAGAGATGGTGGTGGATGCTAATATGATAAGGATGTTTAAGAGACTTTTAGATAAGCACGTGAATATGCAGGGAATGGAGGGAAATGGATCAAGGGCATGTAGAAGGAATTAATTTAATTTGGTGTCATGTTCAGCACAACATTTTGGGCTGAAGGGCTCGTTCCTGTGTTGTATTGTTCTATACTCTATGACCCAGGGTTATTTGCTGTGTTGTTGGCTGAGTGGGGATTATGCTGGACCATGAAGTTTCAGGTTGCCTTGATGCTGCTTTTGATGGTCCACAATGCCTCATGGATATCCAACTCTGAAGTTGCATGATCTGTTTGAAGTATATCTTTAGGGCAGGACGCAGTTTTTAGCATAGTGATAGTGCCACACAAAATGATGGAGTGTATTCTCAATGTGAAGGTGGGACTTTGTCTCCAAGGATTGTACAGTGGTCACTCTTATTGATACTGTCATAGACAGATGCATCTGTTGGTTCCCTTACTACCTGCTGCAGACTCAGTCTAGCAGCTATATCCTTTAGGACCCAACCAGTTCAATCAGTCGTACTGCTACTGAGCTACCCTTGGTGGTAGACGTTGAAATCCCCCACCCAGAGTACATTCTGCATCCTTCATCCAGAATAGGATGGGGCATAGATCTTTTAGGATTGAGGTGAGGAGTAATTTCTTCATCCTGAGATTGGTGCGCCTGTGGAATTCTGAGACCAAAACATCGAATGGGGATTTACTTCAGCCCAATGGAGTTTGATTTTCTCCAAAGTGCCTTAAAGGCAGCACTTCACTTGTTTATGTTTTCAGTACAATTTTAAAGGTTGCAGCTGCTTCTGATATATACTTTCAGGTATCATTGAAACCATCGCTCTGGTGTCCACCTCCATTCCAGTCCGTTTGCCATTCAGTAAGGGAGTGACCCAGTGTTGTTTGATGTCACCAGCAATGGTCAGTATGTATCGTAACAGATCCTCTTCAGAGTGAGAGTCTGAACATTTCTCACACCCCTTCCGTACTGTGCAGATTTTCTTCGTATTAATTGGTTTCTGCACTTTTGCTGTATGTTGTTTATATTTCTTCCTCAAACACCCCTATTTAATGTGTCATTTTTAGCTGCAGTTTCTGCATACAGTTTCTTTATAGCAGTAATTTGCCAATACGTGACCTGTTCTTCCACATAAATGACAGTTTTGAGTCTACATTTGTGCTCATCTCTCAGCCACCATTTTGTGAACTCTCATGTTCAAGCTTGGTTGTTGAGCTTCCTTGGCTGTTAGTTCCATCAGGACTGCTTTTACCAGCACTTTCTTTAAGTCTCGGTTCCTTTCCATCAGTAATCTCTTCTGGATTGCAAATACTAAATTCCTCAAGTTTTCGGGAGAATTTTCTGCAGCTTGTTTCCATTCAAAGAGTAAAAGCAACTGCTAAATTAAATGAGGTGGGCCAAGTCAATCGATTGTCAGTGGGGGAACATGTAGAGGCTGTACTCATTATATCACAAGGATTAGATCGACAATAGGGGGAGCAGGAAGAACAATCCAGAGCGCAAATAATGAGATGGGGGAAAGCCAATTTCAACACAGTAAGAATGGATCTTGACAGAATTAATTAGAGTCAAAGGTTTCCAGGAAAAGTGGTGAATAAATGGCTTCATTCAAAAAGGACTTATTTCTGGATAAATCAAGGTATATTTCCTCAAAGAGAAAGATAGGGCATAAAAAGCCAAGGTTCCCTGAATGGAAACATGGAATTTGTGATTCAAGCTGTTGATCCATGAATTTATTGACAGGTCAAATGACTTACTTTTGCTCGACATTCATATGTTTGTAAAAGAGACAGAAATTAACATGAAGAAGAAAAAAATTCCTTTATATCAGATGACAGGTAGAAAATTCAACTGAGAACCAAGTTGAACACAGAAGCTTCAGAGGGGTAGTGAAAAAGCAAATCAGAAATAAACTGAGTGTATGAATAAAGACTGACAGCTAAATTCATGTAATAAATAACTTTCTTGAGCTTTTTTTTGGAGAAATGAATTTAAAACATTGACAAAGATAATGGTATTGATGAGTCATGAACTTCCAGAAGGTATTTCATACAGTACTGCAGAAAACCTTGATTAAAATTATAGCCTACGGAATAAAAGGGACAGTGGCAACAAGAGTACAAAGTGTGTGAGTGATAGAAAGCAGAGAGCATTGGGTGAGAGGTGATTTTTTTTTGACAGGTTTTGTGGTGCAGTTCCTTTGGAGTCAGTGTTGAGACCTTTGTTTTTTCTGATGAATATAAAATGATTGATACCTTTGTGTATGGGGCACAGTTTAAAATAAGCAGGAGAATCAAAAATTGGAACCATTGTGCACTGTGAGGAGACTAGAGTCGAAGTTTAGAACTTTAAAGGACATTGGCAAGATGGTGAAATGCATGTGCATGTGGCAGATAAATTTCAAAGTGGAGAAATGTGAAGTGAAGAAAGAAGCAGATACAATTGAAAATGAAAGGCACAGCTATCATTGAGTGTAAAAGCAGAGGGACCTAGTTGTATAATTGCACAAGCCATTGAACATGGCAGGTTGCGAGCATGGTTCATTAACCAGACTGTTTCATGAGTTTAATACCAGCACCATAGAGTCCAAGGGCAAGGAGGTTATCCTGAAAAATAAAAGACCGTAGCTTAGCTTCAGTGGGAGGATTGCATCCAGTTCCAGACACCACTTTTGAGGAAGAATGGTTTCAGCGATGAGTAATTTCAGATATAAAATAGATTAGAGAAGCTGGCATTATTTCCCTTGGAGAAAGAGGGCTGAGAGGAAATCGCATCAAAATGTCAAAAATCATGACAAGCCCAAACAGAATCAACAAAGAGAACTTGGTCCTATTAGAATAGGCGGACGCAAATTTAGGTCGTTTGGCAGAAGGATCAATGACAGCATTAAGGACAACTTTTTTTATGAAGCAACTGCTTAGGGCCTGGAATGTACAGTCTGAGAGTGAGGGAGAGATAGGTTCACTCGAGTGGTTAGGGTCTGGAATGTACTGCTTAAGAACGTGGGGGATACATATACATGGGTGTGATTCTTTGTATTTAATTTGCACATATAGAAAAACCTGAAAGGATGTAAGGGTTTGCGATGGGTAAATGTAAAATTGCTAAACATAATTTTAATGGAAAGTTTGAAATGATTGGGGAGTGAGTACAGCATTGTATGATGAGTCCCACATCCATGTATAAATTTGAATAAACCAGTGTTAGAAGAACCTCAATTTTCATTGCTGAATCAATCAGAGCGTCAGCCACTTCCCTGATGCCTTATGAATGCCCAGTCTTCAGTTGCTGCCTTTGTTCAAAGTCTGTCCCATTTGGCTTGGTGATAGTGGCACACAACACGATGGAGGGTATTCTCAATGTGAAGGCAGGACTTCATCTACACGAAGACTGTGTGGTTGTCACTTTTACTGCTACTATCATGGATAGATGACATAGCGGCAAGCAGATTAATGAGGATGAGGTCAAGTGTGTTTTTCCCTCTTGCTGGTTTCCCTAGGCAGACCCAATCTAGCGGCTGTGTCTTTTAGGATTTGACCAGGTTGATCAGTACTGCTGTTGCTGAGCCACTGTTGGTAGTGGACATTGAAATACCCCACCCAGAGTACATTCTGTGTTTTTGTTACTGTCAGTGCTCTCTCCGAGTGTTGGTCAATGACAACGAGCATAGAGTAGTCACTGCAAGATGGTACTTGGTAATCAGCAGGAGGTTTCCTAGCTCATGTTTGACCTGATGCCATGAGACTTCATGAGGTCCAGAGACAATGTTGAGGACTGCCAGGGCAACCGTATTCCAACTGTACACTGGTGTCCAGCCACCTCGGGGCAGGACATAGGCAGCTGTCTAGGACTTTGTCAGTGAGGTATGATTCTATCAGTATGATTGTATCAGGCTGCTGCTTGACAAGTCTGTGAGGTGAACTATTTGCACAAGCCCTGATTATTATAGTGCCTTTGTTTCAAGCCAATCTCATCTCCTTGCATTTTCTTTCCCCTAGTCTCTAGCTATTTTTAGGGGGTCTATAAACTATTCTCTCCAGTGTCTTCTTTGCTATTTCTTATCTCCATGCAAACGGATTTGACATCTTGATCTTTTGAACCAAGTTCACTTCTCAATATTGTAGTGGTCTCACCTTTCATTCACAGATCTTTTCCAGCTGTTTTTCCTTCCCTTCAGGGAACAATTGGCTTCTACTTACAAGTGAGGAGATCAGCTCCTTTGGTTGAGAGAAATGAACAACACTTCTCACTCACATGCAATTCAATTCATCGAATGTTTGCACTCAAAAATGTTGCTTTTTCGAAAGCAATGCAATGCGGTAGCAAAGGATAAAGTACCAACTGGACATGAGATATTACAGCGTTAAGCTCATAGAAGTTACTGCTCATATGCTTCATATAAATTGAATTAAAATTAGGAGGTAACTGACAATGATAAAATAACTTCTGCTGGAAAAACCGCGTGGATTAATATGGTGCATGTTTTTATAATGATGATTAGATTTCCTGGCTTGTTTCTAAAAGATCTCCAATTATTTTAATCATTGGGCAAACAGACTGAACATTATCAAAAATTATAGACACACTCTTTGACAGTACTAACTGTCACTTCAGGTTACGCAATGTCTGAATTTTTTTTTTGTTGATGACCTGTACAATAAGTGTTCTGGAAGTGGGACCTTTTGTGAAATAATATGATAAAATAATGTAATTATTTCTGCCTATTCTGAAAATTGTTGTGTAAAGATTCTTGCATAAGAAATGCTTCAGAGTCAACCAGCAGTTTTCTGGTTTTTGCCAATTTAGAAATTGAGAATACGTCACGTTTTGGGAAAGGAAAATTCACCCGCAGAATCCATCAATGATGAACATATTTGCTGAATTACGATTTATAGTCTAGTAACTGATTAAAATAAGAAATAGTAATCATTTATTTTGATGAGCTTTGTGTTCTTTGCTATAAGAAAATGTAAAAAAAATTGATCAGTAATTGAATTGATAAGACAAACTATGTGTTTTTACATAAACAATGTTTGTGTGTTTTAGGTACAGGAATGGCTGTGTTTGACCTGCCAAACACAACGAGCTCTAAGTGGACAACTGGGAGATCTTGGGAAAATGCCACCTCCCCTTCCAATTTCATCAAAACCGAAGCAAACTGTTCCTGCTCAGTCTGGACCCAAGCAATCTCAGAAAGATCCATCTTCCACAGGTTCTTCAAAACCTTCAGCAGAGCCACCAACTATTCCTCAGCCAAAAGAAACACAGCCAGAAAAGGTAAGCCCCATGATAACTGCTTTAAAAGAAGCGGAGAAGAAGGAAATGGCATTGAAACCTGCTGCCAAATCAGTAGAAGCTCCAATTGTGGTCAAACAGGAGAAAACTTTGGATCAGGATTTGAACATTACAAAACAAAAGCCTGCAACAGATGAAGAAAAGAGACTTCCACCTGAACCAGTGGCAAAAGAAGATGCTGTTCAACAAGTGGAAAAAACTACTGCACCAAAGAAAATGGAACCAGAAAATGAGAAAGAGGTAACAGAAATAAAGACAGTAAAATCTGAAGATGTCCCACCTGATACAGCAGTTCAAAAACAGCCTTCTGAAGTCATGAAGGTGCAGAATGAGCAGCTAAAAGCACCTGATTTAGCACAGACTGACAAAGAAAAAGTTACAATGGTGAGTAAACATCTTACTTCTGTTAATTTCCTATTATTATCAAGAATTAATTGAATCATAGACTCCCCGCAGTGCAAACAGAGGCCATTTGGCCAATTGAGTCCACATCGACCGTCCAAAGAGCATCCTAACCAGACACCCACCATATCCCTGTAAGCCCACACTTACTATGGCTGAACCACTTAACCTGCACATCCCTAGACTGTGGGAGGAAACCAGAGCAGACACGGGGAGAACCTACAAACTCCACACAGATAGTCACTTGAGGCTGGAATCGAACCTGGGTCCCTGGCACTGTGAGGCAGCAGTGCCACCCAAATCCTGGACAGTTTCATGGAAGTTCTCCAAATGGAGTAGAAATTGGCATTTGAGTGTAATTTAGCACAATGTTGACCTGTTCAATGCTGGGGCTACCTGCCCCAAATATGGACTTTAAAATAAAATGATAAACCTATTCACAAGGTATAGCTTGTAGCATTTAATTAGGAAGTAACTTCAGGTGAAGGAAACCTTGAACCCTCAGCAGTCCCTACGGCTGACAGCTGGAGGCAAGCTGTTTCTTCAAATCTTTTCACGGAACCCTGAGGCACACTAACTCATTGTAATCAACTGTCCCACAGTATTGTTCTTGAAATACTCCCCAGGGACAATGCAACAAGACTAACTGCCTATAGTGTGTGAATGACAATGCATAAGCTCTCTCCACAGTCTTCTAGTGTGGAGAATCTGAGTGAAGAAATTCCTCCTCATTTCAGTCCTAAGTCATCTAGCACTTATTCTGGACCTTTTCTCCTCATTCAAATTTCCCAGCCAAGGGAAAACACTCTTCCTGTATCTACCTTGTCAATCCCTGTAAGCATTTTCTAAGTTTCAATTAATCACTTATTGTTGCTGTAAACTACAGAGAAGACAGGCTCAGTATCCTCAGTCTCTCCTTAGACAGTTCCTCCTTCCCAGGACTTGGCCATCACAGGGATCATTCCAGCCTCGCTCCCTCAAATCTCAGATATATCCTTCCTTAGGTAAGGAGACTAAAACTGAATACAACAGTCCAGGTATAATCCCCATACAATTTCAGAAAGACTGCTGTACACTTCTACTCACGTTGCTTTCATAAAGGCCACCATTCCAAAGCAGGGGCTCTAGTGGCACAGTATTAGTGTCCCTACCTGTAGATCAGGAGGCCCAGGTTCAAGTCCCACTTGCTCCAAAATCATAAAGATGTACAGCATGGAAACAGACCCTTCAGTCCAATTCATCCAAGCCAACCAGATATCCTAAATTAACCTAGTCCCATTTGGCCCATATCCTTCTGAACCCTTTCTATTCATATACCCATCTAGATGCCTTTTAAATGTTGTAATTGTACCACCCTCCACCACTTCCTCTGGCAGCTCATTCCATACACACACCACCCTCTGTGTGAAAACGTTACCCTTTAGGTCCCTTTTAAATCTTTCCCCTCTCACCTTAAACCTATCCCCCCTAGTTTTGGACTTCCCATCCCAGGGAAAAGGCCTTGACTATTCATCCTATCCATGCCCCTCATGATTTTATAAAGCTCTATAATGTCACCCCTCAGCCTCTGACACTCCAGGGAAAATAGCCCCAGCCTATTTAGCCTCTCCCTATAGCTCAAACGCTGGCAATATGTTTGTATAAAAAAATCTCTGAACAGATTGATTAGGCAAATATCAAACATTTAGAAGCCAAGTAATGTAGATGCTTGAGATCTGAAGTTTAAAAAAAACAGAAAGTGCTAGAGAAACTCACCAGGTCTGACAGCATTTGAAGAGCGATAAACAGAGTTAACATTTTGAGTCTGACTTTTGCTTCCAACATTCCATTTGCCTTCCTACTTACCACACCTACATTTTAGCTTTCATGGGCTTATCAACAAGGACATTCAGGTTCTTTTGAGCATCATCACTTCTCTGATGATTTAAGAAATGCCAGGGAGTTTGTTTTTCATATCAGGTGAACACTTTCACATGTTTCTATGCTACAACCCACTTGCCATCACCCTACACTCTCAGTTAGCCTGTTTAAATCGCCTTGTCATCTCTTTTCATCCTCCTCACTGCTCACATTGCCACCTCATTTTGCGTCATCAGTAAACTTGGAAGCTTTACATTTGGTTCCTACATCCACATTGTTGATCTCGATTGTGCAGAGAAAATGTCTTTGATCATTGTCCCCACGAGCTATCTGTAGCATTCTGCTGAACATCACTTGCCAGTTTTGTCAGAATAGCTCATTTTTTTCTGTTCATTATAAAAGGTGAGAGTAATTTAACTTGTTATTACTCGTGATGGTAAATAATAATTTTAAGGTTCACTTTGTTGTTGAAGAGCTGTACCAAATTCACTATACAGGCAGGAGATGTGAGTGAAACCAGCAGAGGGCGGAAGATGAAAGTGAATGGATGCAGAGGCAGCAGCTGACACTGATATCTACAACAGTTCAGATGAGATGGAGAAAACTAACAACTGCTCCAAGGGCTGGGAGCAGGAAATTTAGGGTTAGCAAAGCCTTCAAGTAGAATTAGGGATGGAGGGCAATAAAATATAGTTGGAGGGATTGTGCAACGTCAAAGTAAAGTTGAGTTGCTTAGTTGAAGTGACCAGTATTAATTCAATCACAAGATGTTTACGGGTTTTAGTAGGCAAGATATTTAATGGAAACTCCACTGAGTGAGTAACGACCCCAAAATTGTATACAGGACATGTGCTTTGTGAAAAAAACAAACTGACCTCCATGTAATTACCCTCAGAAAGTTGGCAAGTGCTCGAATGTTCTGACCGCACAGATATGTGAAGGACCAGCTCTTGTCTCTGAATATAATGTTGTATCAGAAAGCCCAATCCTTGCTAATACATGGAACTTTATGAAAGGACAAGTCTTTAAATCAATCCCCCAAGTGAGTGACTGCAACTGTAGGAAATTGCAGATACATTTCAACACACTTTTACTGTGTAGACTCCAAAGCTATGAGGCCTCTGATAGAGCTAACAGCCTTAAATGGCAAGTGAGTTGGTGGCCAATTAGGAAGCTGAGGCTGCCTGGTGGAAGATTGCACGGATGACAAACTGGGCTCACACCACCACCCCCCCCACCCCCAACTGGGTGCCAATGTTGGGATCTCAAACCCCACAGGAAGTTCCACTCTGTGTGTGTCAGAATAGTAATGTTGCTGTTGTTTTATCAGGAACTGAATTTGCCTCCTTGGCATTTCTTTGATCTTGAGGTTTGTTGGTGTTGACCATTCATGAGTTGAGAGGTAATAACTGAAACATTGCCAAAGAAGTTATTCCTTCAGTACTTTCCAATTCTTGGTTAACAGATATATGACTCCTGGTGACGAATACTCAGAAGCAATTCCTTCTTGAATGATATAAGCATTTGATTATCGTTAGGAAGAGTAAAGAAATAGAAATGTAAGTCAATGCTGGAGAATGTTACGGTTCATGATAGTGAATCAATGATTGCAGCAATCAAACTGAGAAGAGGAAGAAATATGTCAAAATACTAAACTAAAACAATTTTGAAAAAGTAACGACAAGAGCACAGGAAATGAACTGAAAATAAGCAAACAGGAACATTGCAGAACATAAAGTGAAGCCTGCCTCAATTGACAAGGCTTCTCAGATTTTTTTTGATTTCTAATAAATAACTATATAACCAGAGCTGCACACACAGTTAAACAGAAAAATATCTCTTTCTTACAATAAAACTATAAAACCCGTTATTTCTACAGGTAGAAGTGGAACTGTGGTTATAGAAATGAGAGTGTTTCAGAAACAGCCAGAGATGCAGTGATCAATATGATGCCCAACAATTCTTATTTGACTTGGTAATTAAGACAAATTTGAACAGCTTTCATAACAAATAATTTGATTTGTTGACTGGTAAAAATTCCCTCATTCATATAAAATTCATTTTAGCATTGCTTTGCAGTGTCAAGAGTATAATAAGGACTTTGAACATAGAACATAAAACAGTACAGCACAGTACAGGCCCTTCGGCCCACGATGTTGTGCCGAACTTTTACCCTAATCCTAACGTCTATCTAACCTCCACCCCTACCTTATACTATCATCCATATGCCTATCTAATAGGCGCTTAAATGCCCCTAATGAGGTTGACTCCACTACCCTCTCCAGCAATGCATTCCACGCCCCGACCACTCTCTGAGTAAAGAACCTACCTCTGACGTCTCCCCTATATCTACCTCCACTCACTTTAAAACTATGCCCCCTCCTAATCGCTACCTTCACCCGAGGAAATGGTCTCTGGCTGTCCACTCTATCTATAACTCTGATCATCTTGTACACCTCTATCAAGTCACCTCTCGTCCTTTGTCGTTCTAAAGAGAAAAGCCCTAGCTCTCTCAACCTTTCCTCATAAGACCTTCCCTCCATTCCAGGCAACATCCTGGTAAATCTCCTCTGCACCTTTTCCAATGCTTCCACATCTTTCCTGTAATTGAGGCGACCAGAACGGGACACAATACTCCAGATGTGATCGAACCAGGATTTTGTATAGCTGGAGCATAACTTCACGGCTCTTGAACTCAATCCCTCTATTAATGAAAGCTAACACATCATATGCCTTCTTAACAACTCTATCCACCTGGGTGGCAGCTTTCAGGGAACTGTGAACATGAACGCCAAGATCCCTCTGCTCCTCCACATGCCAAGAATCTTTCTGTTAACCCTGTATTCTGCTTTCAAGTTTGTCCTTCCAAAATTAATCACCTCACACTTTTCAGGGTTAAACTCCATCTGCCACTTCTCAGCCCAGCTCTGCATCCTATCAATGTCCCTTTGTAACCTAGAACAGCCCTCTGCACTGTCCACAATGCAACCCACCTTCGTATTGTCCGCAAACTTGCTAATCCACCCTTCCATTCCTACATCCAAATCATTTACGAAAATCACAAATAGAAGAGGACCCAGAACAGATCCTTGTGATACACCACTCGTAACTGAGCACCATGTTGAATATTTTCTGTCCACTACCACCCTTTGTCTTCTAAGGGTCAGCCAATTCTGAATCCAATCTGCCACATTTCCCCTATCCCATGCCTCCTTACCTTCTGCATGAGCCTACCATGGGGAACCTTATCAAACTCCTTACTTAAATCCATGTATACCACATCCACCACTCTGCCTTCATCCACATGTTTGGTCACCTCTTCAAAGAATTCAATAAGGTTTGTGAGGCATGATCTACCCCTCACAAATCCATGCTGACTATCATGAATCAAACTGTGCCTTTCCAAGTGATCATAAATCCTATCTCTCAGAGCCCTTTCCAATAATTTGCCCACCACTGACGTAAGACTAACTGGCCTGTAATTTCCGGGGTTATCTCTATTCCTTTATTTGAACAAGAGAATGACGTTTACCTCTCTCCAATCTTCCAGAGAAATTTGATACTCCAGAATTACACTGTGATCATGCATTATGTAATTTTTTTTGGGAGTTGCAGTGTACATTTGAATCTCCTCGTGAATTATCAAGCAACATTGTCAGAAAGAATCCAGTTATGGCAGACTGGAGCATTCAAGTTATTTAATGCAGCATGAAACTGGCATCACTTGAAAGGCTGTCAGCAGCAATGAGGCAGCAGCTCAGAACAGAACAAAATCCGACTGAGGGAGCCAGAGAGAAAATCAAATAGACAGAAATAATGGGGGAGCAAAGAGAAACAGCCAGAACATCAATAAAATATATATGGAGGCTAAGAATTTGTATAAGAAGCATGTTTCATGAAAGAAAGGGTTGCTGGTATGCTCGGAAACCAGTAGACAGGGGCAGAGTTTCTACCTAATGGAATACTACATATCTTGTATGTCTATGAATGTAATTCTCCTGCACAGGCTCATGCTCAAAATTCTAAACTGGGGGATAGCCAACTTTAATAAGATCAAATATATTTGGCCAAAAGTGCACATACTTTTAGGTAAATCTTTGTCAAAGCAGTGAGATGTATTCAACCGAGAAATAGGGAGAACGCAGGGCCAACGTGTTCCATAAAAGATAAAGGGTGGGACCAAAAAATCAAGCAAACCCCTGGATATTGAGAACTAGATAAAGGGAGGCTTATGCAGATACCAAGGGCTTGAAACTACAGAAGCTCCAGAGAACAGAATGTGCAAGAGGGATCTTTAAAATGAGATCAGGAGAGCCAATCTGGGCATGATAGGTAATGGCAAGTAAAACAGGTAATGGCTAAATTATTTTTCAAGTACATTGAGGGTAAAAGGATAAAGGAAAGAGTACGGCCCATTAAGAATCACAGTGGTGATTTGTGAATGGAGTTGGAGGATATAGGTTGGTCTAAAAATCAGGGAGAAGGACTGTGATATACTTAAAGAAATTAGCACAGATAGAGAGAGAATGGTCTGAGTGTTTTGGCAGGCTCAAAAGTAGATAAATTTCATATTATGCAGCTAGTCCCATTCTCCAATCCTATATCTGTAGCTGTAAATGATTTAGACTTGAAGGTAGGAGGGTTGATCAGTAAGTTTGCAGATAATACAAAAATTAGTGAGGAGGATAACATTACATTACAGGAGAATATTGATGGTTTGGTCAGTGGCGAATGGAATTCAATGCAGATCATTGTGAAGTGATGCAATTGAGAAGGACAAGTAAGGCAAGGGAATACATGATGAAGGGTCAGACCCTGGGAAGCACTGAGGATCAGATGGACTTTGGTGTGCATGTACACTGATCTCTTAAGGTAGTAGGACAGATAGATAAAGTGGTTAAGAAGGTGTATGGGTTACTTACCTTTATTAGTTGAGGCATAGAGTTTAAGAGCAGGGGGGTGATGCTGAAACTGTATAAACCATAACTTCGGCCACAGCTAGAGTATTGGGTGGTGTTCTGGAATCCACATTACAGGAGGAGTGTGATTGCAGTGAAGAGAGTGTTGTGGAGATTTACTAGGATGTTGCCAAGGCTGGAGGTTTTAGTTATGAAGAGAGATTGGACAGATTGAGGTCGTTACCATGGAGCACAGAGGATTGAGAGGGGACGTGATTGAGATGTATAAAATTATGAATGGCCTGGAGAGGGTATAAAGGAAGAAACTTTTCCCCTAGATTTAAGACCATAAGGCATAGGAGCGGATGTAGGCCATTCAGCCCATCTAGTCTGCTCTGCCATTCAGTGAGATCATGGCTAAACTGCTAATCCTCAAGTCCACTTTCCTGCAATTTCTCCATAACTCCTGATTCCCTTACCAATTAAAAATTTATTGAAGTCAGATTTGAATATACTTAATGATTAAACCTGTACAGAACTCTGGTAACAAATCCCACAGATTCACAACCTTTTGAAAGAAGAAATTCCTCCTCATCTCTATCGTAAATGTGCAAACCCTTATTCTGAAATGACACTCTCTGGTGCCAGACTCTCTCACAAGGGAAACAACCTCTCTGCATCTGTCCTGTCAAGTCCCCTAAGAACCTGGAAGGCTTCAATCAAGGCCTCTCATTCTTCTAAATTCAATGAGTACGGGCTCAATTCACATAAACCTCTCCTCATAAGACAGTCTCTCCGTATCTGGGCAGTTTTACAACCAAACAGTGGAAATGAAATTTAATTAATTTTTCTAGATTGTGTTATGCTTTTTATTTTTTCCTTGACAAGCACTGACACAATATATTGTCACTACTGTGAGTGTGATTGCTGATGGTAACTGTTAAATTATGAGGTAATAGATATAGCTATTTTGACAAGGATTCTGCAGTCAACAATATCTTAAGTTTTGTATAAATATGACATTTATTTTCCCATTGCTTCACGATATCCACAGATGCTCCTGGTGCTGCTAAGGCCCTATATGACAACAGACTAGTGATATTCCGTAACAACTATTGTTTAGATAAAGAATGTTATCGAGTTCACTGGATATGTATTTATTGAATTATTACTGGCAGGCCATCTAGATGAGCACTTTGCAAATTCTATCAATTGGGAATGGATTAATGCTTCACTGAATATAACCATGATGCTATTGTTGCCCTTTTACAGTTTCCTTTAATTTTCACTTATTCCATTAAATTATAATCTCAGAAGATTGTTGCTTCAGCTACTAAGAGATGACCTAAAAATGCAATGAAAACTACATTTAGGCACCTTTTATGGTTACTCTTGGGAGAGATGTAATTCTAAATTAATCGACAATTCTAATCCGTAATATTGTGCCTTTCCTTTTGAAGATTATAAAGAGAGATCCAATATTTAGATAGCCTCAATTTACATTTTTCTTTTTAATGATGAAAGAGCAGTGCTCCAAAAGCTTATGATTTTAAATAAATATGTCGGACTATAACCTGGTGTTGTGTAACTTCTGATAGTCTTATAGAGTGTTAGAGTCATACAACACAGAAACACATCCTTCAGTCCAACCAGTCCATGCAGAACATAATCCCAAACTGAAATACTGAATAATATTGATAAATATTTTGATATAAAATTTTTGCAGCAAATTTGAATTTTCTGTGGAATTCACCACCTGCTGTTGGTTTCTAAAATAAAACAAAGAACTGTAGATGCTGAAGATCTAAAACAAAAACACAACTTGCCAAAGAAACTGAGCAGCTCTGGTAGCATCTGTGGAGCGAAAACAGAGTTAGTGTTTTGAGTCCAGTGACCCTTCTACAGAACTGATAGTAGTTAGGTGGTATTAACGCTGATTACAGGAGTGGAGGAGAAAGGAATGAGCGGATTGGTGGAGATGGAGCTTTCTCTCTTTCTCTCTCTCAGTTTTGTTTCTGCCAAATCACTCACTCCTTTCTCCTCATCCCCCCACATCCATCATCAGCATAAATACCACCGTTTCCCTCACTACTATCAGTTCCAAAGAAGAATAACTGGAATCAAAATGTTAACTTTTTCTTTCTTCACAGATGCATGCCAAACCTGCTGAGTTTCTGTAGCATTTTATGTCTGTTACTGTTGGTCTGTTGTCTGTATAGCAGGATATCTTATTGACTTTAGAAAGTTTTTTGTAATTGTTGAGATTGTAAATTTATGTGGTTAATATTTCTCTTATATGTTACACAATAATTTACTCTTCCAAACAGGAAAAAGAGGAAGAAAAGTCAGACTCATCAGCACTTCAGCAGCAGAAAAGTCCCCAGGGTCTGAGTGACACAGGCTATTCCTCAGATGGCATATCCAGTTCACTGGGTGAAATTCCAACAATCCTTCAAAGCGAAGCTAAAGACTTGCTCAAAGAACCGGCTCTGAAAGATTCCATTTCTCAGGAATGTAGCCCTTCAAGTCCGTCAGATCTTGCCAAGCTGGAAAGTACCGTTCTTTCAATCTTAGAAGCTCAGGCAAATACAGTGCATCACGAGAAGTCAGGCCAACATAAAGATCCTTATGGACTTTATTCTGATCATGAAAGAGAGCGACACAGACCAAGAACCTTATCAATTACACCAGAGTCTTATAGCTCGGATGAAGAAGATCTTGAAGATATTCAGGAAGAAGATGAGGAAGCTTTGGAAGATCATGATCATGAAGATAAATTAGCTAGCAAAGACTATAATGAAAGTTATGGCTCTCAGGGTGATGAAGCATCAAGGAGACAACGATATGATTCTCTTGAAGACAGTAGTGAAAGTGAGCACTCACCTCATCCTCATAGGCAGAGGAAAGTCAGTATTGGGTCATCAAGCAGTGATAGCCAAGGATCTGGTGATGAAGAAGACTTTATTCGAAAACAAATCATTGAGATGAGTGCAGAAGAAGATGCATCAGGTTCTGAAGAAGATGAATATATCAGGAGTCAGCTGAAAGAATTAAGTGGGAAAGGACGCCCAGAGAACAAAGGGCTAACTGTTAAGCACAAACGTCTTTCAAAGCGAAGTAGCAGCAGTCACGATGATGATCCAGGGAGGCGCCATTCATGGCACGATGTAGATGATGATGATGATGATGAAGAAGTGTATGATGAGAGTCCTGAGGCTAAGTACAGAGAGACTAAAAGTCAAGACAATGAAGAATTGTCTCTTTCAGCTGGTGGAGGCCTTAGACGTTTTAAAACAATAGATTTGAACAGTACTATTACAAATAAATACGCAGAAGATGGTTCTGAGATCAAAAAGGATGGATTGTACTACGAAGAAGAACCGGAGCTAGAGATGGAAAGCTTAACTGATTCACCCGAAGATAGATCAAGAGGTGAAGGCTCATCTAGTCTGCATGCCACATCCAGTTTTACACCTGGTACTTCACCTACATCAGTATCATCATTGGATGAAGACAGTGACAGTAGTCCGAGTCATAAGAAGATGCTTGGAGAGAGTAAACAGCAAAGAAAGGCAAGACACAGATCACCTGGTCCTCTGTTGCCTACTATTGAAGACTCTTCTGAAGAAGAAGAATTGCGGGAGGAAGAAGAACTTCTGCGAGAACAAGAAAAACAGCGAGAGTTAGAACAGCAACAAAGAAAGAGTTCAACAAAGAAATCAAAAAAAGATAAAGATGAGCTAAGAGCTCAGAGAAGACGGGAACATCCGAAAACCCCGCCTAGTAATCTCTCACCAATTGAAGATGCTTCACCAACAGAAGAGTTGCGACAAGCAGCAGAAATGGAGGAGTTACATCGCTCTTCATGTTCTGAATATTCCCCCAGCATTGAATCTGAGCCAGAAGGTTTTGAAATACATCCAGAAAAAATTATAGAAGTACAGAAAGTTTATAAATTGCCTACATCAGTGTCACTATATTCTCCTACAGATGAGAATGCAAGTCGCACTATGCACGAAGTTGGTGCTATTAATCAGAAGTCTTTGAAAAGTGCAGAAGAAGCATATGAAGAGATGATGCAGAAAGCGAAATTTCTTAAGAATCAAAAAGAACCTGATGATGTATTTGACAAGGAACCTTTATATGGGGGGATGTTAATCGAAGATTATATCTATGAGTCTCTAGTAGAAGATAACTACAATGAAACAATGGATAACCGTTTTCTTAATACAGGACTGGATACCAGCACTGGTTTGATACAAGAAACTGAAAAGAAATTAAGAAGCCCAGATGAAATTTATGAAGAAATAATGAAGAAAAACACCAATCTCAATGATGCACAATGTTATCATTACAATCTGCCTTTAGGTGTAAACCTTCATCCACATGATTTGCCTTCCTCTGTTTCTGTTGCAAAAGAAACATTTGTTACATTTCCATTGGATGCCAGTGAAGCTTCTACAAAGATTGAGAAACAGTTGTTAGATGCTGATGCTGCTTATGAGGAGATCATGAAGCGACAAAGTGCATTGCTGACTCCTGGCACCAGTCCAACTCAGCTGAGTTCTCCTGACTCCATGTCTGCTGAGTCAGAGGCAACCAACAGCTCTTCATTAACAAGTACAGCTGCTTCAGCTGGGGTGCACGACAAACTGTTAACCTCTTTGCCACTTTCTAGTACAAAGCCAGTTCAAATTTCATCAATAAATAGCACAATGCATGCTATTCCTGATGTCAAAATTACCCAGCACTTTTCCATGGAAGATGACATTGATATGGAATATGGAGAACAATATTGTGTAGATAACAGAGGGATGTCATATGAAACTGCTGAGATTGTACAACACAGCAAACCAGGGACTACAGCCAGCAGTATGGCATCAACATCGACTGTAACGTCCAAAGCTTTTGCAGTTGCCTCTACTATCACCACAACTATCAGCTCTCCAATTTGCTCCACTGGGCCTGTTGGTGGATCAAGGACAACAGATTTTGTTGTCCTTAGTATAACCACAAGCGAAGACAATTACACTTCAACACAGACACCCAGATCTACTGTCAAGACTACGATGACTCCGTTAACTTCCACAACAGGAGGAATGTCTCAAGTACATCCCACTTCAACCACCAGTTCTTCTGGGTTATCAGCTGGATCTGACCATGTACTGATCTCAGTGCCTCCAAATCTAGACAGTTCTGATGTTCTCACTTCCACCGCAGTGACTCCAGTGGTGCCAGAAACTAGCCATCTTTTAGATAAGCAATCTTCTCTGGATAGTATGTCTGATAAAACTATCGCTTTAGTGTCCATGCCTCCAGCCTCAGTGCGGGTTGCTGTTTGTGAATCCTTAGGGATGACAGATCCAACGTCAGTAGTTACATTGCCTGTATCATTACCAGGAAAAGCGAAAATTGCAACCACTTCAAGTCCAGCACCAGGGTTCTCTGTCTCAACAACACTTTCTCCTTCTGTGACCATCACTGCCTCACAAGCACAAATCACAACCAAGGGTCCTTTTCTTCCTTTTGAAATGGGCTCACTCTTCAGTACATCATCATTACATTCTCCTACTCATTCACCACTCCCTCCACCACCACCTCCACCACCCCCTCCTCCTTTACCTCCTCCAACCTTTCCAAAGCCAGTTATCATCCCAAAGAAAAGATCCACAACTGATGTATCAATCTGCAGAATAAATACTTTAGATCAGAGCAGTTTAACAGCAACTGATAAAATATTTCATCCAATGCCACCTCCTGTCCCTCCGAAGCCAGCCTCAATTCCATCAGCACTGGTTTTCACCACAAGACCAACAGATGGAATACGGCCCGCAATTCCACCAAAGCCATCATTTCCTCATCTTCCTATTTCTGTGCATAGACCAAGTGAATCACAACATAAAGCTTTAACCTCGGCTACAACTTTGTCTTTGACCTTGACTTCACCAGGAGATCTCAAGTTGATCTCTCCTACATCTCCTATCTCACCACATTCAAATAAATCTTCTCCAAAGTTAACTATGCATTCCCAAGCTACGTATGTAGTAATCACTCTGCCATCTGAACCCGGTACTCCCACAGAACCTGTCACCTGCCAAGCATCTTCCATCCAATCATCAGTATCCCCTTCAAAACAACATGGTCTATCAAGTCTACCACCGGCCATATCCTTGGCTCACTTTACCAAATCTTTGGAAGCTCAGAAAATAGTTGAAAAGGGAAAAACTGAGACAGTTTATTTTTACCAAAGTTTGGCACGGGGCGTTGTATCAACAGTGGAACATGAAATGTCAGCAGAAGTCTCACAGCCACCAATTTCGATGCTGTATGACAAAGTGCCTGGTAGGGGCACAGTTAGTGTCGCTATTACCATACCTCCTGAAAGAAAATCTTCTGAGCTTCCACAATTTCCAGAAAATGGGAGAACACTAGAGCATATGGCACAGTTCACAAGTGATGTAATTGACCTTCGTACTTTGTCAAATTTAGATGTAGATATGACAGATAATGGGATGGATTTGTCTACTTTCTCTGCAGATGGAGGAAGACATGCTTTAGTCATTGATTCTAGTGGCATACGTCATCTCAGTGCAATTCAGCCTGCCATTATCAATCTAAGTAAAACTGAACCAGATGAACAAATTTCAGTTTCAACACTGGCAATGTCTGCAGGAAGAATGACTGTAGTTACCTGTACAGGTAGCACCACTTTTACTGCAACCACTGACACTTTGGAAGGGCCCATGGACCTTGGCCATTCTGTCCCTATACCACTTCCACTAATGACCAAGGTTGATGAAGCAACATGCAGTGTTGCTCACTGTCAGTCCCCAGCCACAGGCACAGTAGAAGTTCCAATTAACCTGACCTGTACTACCGCTACTTCCATTTCAGGTTGGCCTAACACTAAACCAGTGACCAAAGCTCCTGGTAGCACAATAAATGGATGGACAGATGTGGAACCTGCCGAAGTTGAAGCAGTTGATTTAAGCACCACAAAACCCCATCGAATGATGGTGTCAGTGGATGAATTAACAACTGGAATTGTTACTACAATTGTAGAGGAGGAAGACAAGCCTGTGGATCTCACTGCAGGAAGACGCAATGTTTGCTGTGATATGGTTTACAAATTTCCATTTGGTCGCAGTTGTTCATCATTGACACAGCAACCTGCTTCCACCCTCCCTGAAGATCGTTATGGGTACAGAGATGATCACTATTCATATGGCCATGGTGCAACCCATGGCTACAGAGGATTTGGGAGCATGAAGCCTTCCATGTCTGATACCAACTTGGCTGAAGCTGGTCTGTTTCTGTACAAAAGCAAGCATAGCTTTGACTATTGCAGTAGTAGCACTGATGCAGCCATGGATCTTACTGCAGGAAAACTGACAGCAGGTCAGTATCAAACAGCAACAGATCTTTCGTTAAAATTCAGGCTGCATGGATTCCCTCAACTCATACTGGGCTAATCTCTTTCTGTTGCATCATTTCTAAATCTATTGTTTTTACTTTGATACAAAACTTTAAGCATGCGAAAATGGAATGCAATTTATTTGTTGATTGTTATCTTTGCACACAGCTGCTTGCATGCACTGCATGTTTCTTTTCAGCATTGTTTTTTGCTTCATATGTAATGGCACTATTGATGATGGTGAAGACATGCATGCAAACTTTGCTTAAAGCTCCTGGATGGAATGCCAGTGATTATCCCCACAACTCTATTTGATTATCTAGGAATGAGTTCTGTTTCTGAAACTATAATTACAGGTGAATTAATGGATTATTCTGCAGTTTGTACTCAGCCTCAAGATCACCTCAGCAAGGGAACTTTGAGTTACCCAGAGACACATCAAGTGATTACAGACTCTGGCATGTCACAGTATTCTCAAGCAAGAATAACACCAACTATTGGAAGCCACTATGGCATGCAAAGTGTTTTACGTTCGTCTGGTGGTGTTGTATATTCTTCTGTGGCGTCTCCAATTCCATCCACTTTTGCAATTACTACACAACCAGGTTCAATATTCAGCACTTCTCTTAGTCTCCATAGTAGTGATACAATGCCTTCACTATCAGTATTGCAGCATATTCAGCCAATGCCCAAGTCTTCCAGTTGCTTAACAACAGCTGATACAGGAAGAGAGATAGGTGCTGGGGCTTCTCCAGGTTTAGATACATCTGTGCTTATGCCTAACCTGACAAGAATTTCAACAACGTACCACGACACATCATCTGAGGTCAATTTTATACCGACTGAAACCGATTACATGCAGAAACACAGTATTGAATCTGTAGTGGCTCCCAAGCTCTCACCGGTGACTTCACCTGTATCTGAGGAAAATAAACATCTGTTAATAGAAAGAGAAATGTTGGAGTTTGAGAAGATGAAGCAGATACGTTTAGCTGAGGAGCTGGAACGTGAACGACATGAGATCCAGATATTTCGAGAACAAGAAAAGCTTATTGTTCAGCGAGAACTTCAGGAATTGCAAACAATGAAGCAGCAACTCCTGTATCAGCAAGAGGAAGAGCGGCAAGCTCAGTTTATGATACAGCAAGAGACAATAGCGCAGCAGCAGATGCAGCTTGAACAAATACAGCAACTACAGCAGCAACTACAGCAGCAGCTTGAGGAGCAAAAGATTCGACAAATATATCAGTACACGTATGATCCTTCTGGTTCAACCACACCTCAGACAACAACAGATCAAGTAATGATAGAATCCCAGTATACAACAGCCGAAAATGGTCAGTTCTGGCATGGTCAGGATATTAGTACAACAGCTCCAGCCATGATGGGCCAGGAACCACAGCCATGGTATACTGCTCAGTCAGAAGGCATCCCTCAGCATCTGCCTCAGTCTTGCATGCTGAGCTCAGTGTCAGAAATGTCTTTGAAAGACATTGATGCCAGAGAGGGAAGAGCACTTAGAAAGAGGAGTTCCATGCCCAGGTTGGGAGGTCAATATGGTGATGATCTTGATGGAAAAATGCAGGATCTAAGGTCATACAAAAAGATAGTTGACAGTGGAGTCCAAACTGATGATGAGGAAGGGACAGAAAGATGCTACACTAGTAGAAGAAGAAGAACTAAGAAGAGTGTGGATAGCAGTGTTCAGACTGATGATGAAGATAATCAGGAGGACTGGGACATTCCCATCAGAAGACGAAAGTCTCGTGTTGGGAAATACACTGATGGTGGACCAGAGCTAGAGAAAGCAAAACGGCCACATTTTGCAAAACTCTCTAATATTGCTATGCAGACTGTAGCTGAGATTTCTGTTCAAACTGAACCTGAGGGAATCATACGAACACCTTCCATAAGGGCTCAAGTTGAATCGAAGATAGAAATTATAAAGCACATTTCAGCTCCAGAGAAAACATACAAAGGTGAAAGCTTAGGTTGCCAGACTGAAACAGATTCAGATGGACAAAGTCCCCAATACCTGACTCATAAGGTCATTACAGTTGTATCTCCACAAAAAACTGATAAAAAGCGTCCAACGCCATTAGAGATTGGCTATTCAAATCACCTTCGAGCAGATTCTGCCTTCCAAGTTGTTCCATCCCCACCGAAATCTCCGAAAGTTTTATACTCACCAATCTCACCAATGACCCCAAACAAAGAACTGGAGACAGCATTTGTGCCCTATGAGAAATCCCCTTCAGTTGACAAAACCTCGCAGAAACTAATGGCTCTTGAACCACCAAAAAGTCAGCCTCTAAGCCCTCGGACTATCAAAGTTATTCAGCGATCCATGTCTGATCCAAAACCACTGAGTCCTACAGCGGAAGAAAGCTCTAGGTTACATTTCCAGTATAATGACAGCTACTTGGTAAGCATTCTTCGACCTAATTGTTTCTGATTGCCTATAGCATGAAACATTGCTTTGTATGCACAAGCCTATGGTAAATCCACATGTGGTGATCTGTGAGACTGTAACAGTGGCATCTCATAACACAGCTAACAATCCAGTTAATATGGCTAACTCCCTGTTGCAAACATACATACATTTATAAATATGCGTAGCAATCGGATCTAAATTTTCTAACTTAGTTTGTTTTTTTAATTATTCAGTTTGTAGTGCAACTTTGACTTTATGCAGAATTCAGCAAGGAAATCAAAAATTAAATCATAGATGAAATTTCAAGGGATGTAGCCACTTAAGCGTAAATGCTCGTTTGAAAGGCAAAATCTTGCAGCAGTTCAATAGGTTCAAAAGACTTCTTAACTCCTTGGCAAGCATTGGCAACGTTGAAGATTAGATGGGGGAACTGATACTAATCCTTGTGGAAAATTATTATCTTAGAAGAATATCTGATGCATAGGACAACAAGGAGGTTGTGCTTGCAATAAGCCCAAGGTATCAAAGGTAAGGGTTGAAGTGCCATTCCAATCTTGCAGCTTAAATGTTGTGACTGTTGCCACAGTTATTGAAACCACTGTAGTCATGATCCAGCACTGACAGTTTATCTGGAACACTGACAGTGATGTGATCTGGTGCACTGTCAGTCTGTCCCACTGTCAGTATCCTGGGGGTTACCATTGACCAGAAACTGAGCTGGACATGCAATATAAATATAGTGGCAACAAAAGCAGGTCAGAGGTTAGAAATCCTGCAGCAAGCAACTCATCTCCTGACTCCCCAAAACTTGTCCACCATCAACAAGGCACAAGTCAAGAGTGTGATGTAAATACTTCCCACTTGCCTGGGTGGGTGCAGCTCCAACATCACTCAAGAAGTTTGACACCATCCAGGACAAAGCAGCCCGATTGAGTGACATCGTATCAACAAGCATCCGGCCTCTCCATCACTGACATTCAGTAGCAGCAGTGTATATTATCTTAAAAAGAATAAAAGAATGAAAGAGAAATATGGCACAGGAACCCAGGCCCTTCAGCCCTCCAAGACTGTGCTGATCATCATGCCCTGACTAAAATAGAAAACAAACCTTCTGCCTTTATTCAGTTTGTATCCCTGTATTCCCTCCCTATTCATGTAAACATCCAGATGCCTCTTAAACGTTGCCAATGTGCCTGCTTCCACCACCTCCTCTGGCAGTGATTTCCAGGCTCCTATTACTCTCTGCATGAAAAACTTCCCTCGCACATCCCCCTTAAACTTTTGCCCTGTCACTTTGAATCTGTGCCCTCTTGTAATTGAAACTTCAGCCCTGGGAAAAAGCCTCTGACTATCCACCCTATCTATGCCTCTCATAATTTTGTAGACGTCTATAAGGTCTGCTCTTAGCTGCCTTCTTTCCAGTGAAAACAATGCTCGTCTTTTTAACCTTTCCTCATGGCCAATGCCCTCGAGACTGAGCAACATCCTGGTGAACCTTCTCTGCTCTCTCTCCAAAGCTTCCACGTCCTTCTGCTAATGTGGCAACCAAAACTACACAGAATATTCCAAATGCGGCCTAACAGGGGTTTTATATAGCTGCAGCATGGTTTGCCCACTCTAATACTCCATGCCCCAGCCGATGAAGGTAAGCATGCCATATGCCTTCTTAATCACCTTGGCTACCTGTGTTGCCACTTTTAGGGAAGTGTGGACCTGCACGCAGTGATCTGTCTGTATGTTAATGTTCCTAAGGGCTCTGCCATTAATAGTATAATTCTAAAGGTGCACTGCAAAAGTTCACCAAAGATTCTTAGACAGCACCTTCCAAACCCATAACCACTTCCATCTAGAAAGGACAAGGACAACAGAAATGTGGGAACACCACCCTCTGCAAGTTCCCCTCGAAGCCACTCACCATCCTGTCTTGGAAATATCACTGTTCCTTCACTGTCACTGTGTTAAAATCCTGGAACTCCCTCCCTGAGGGCATTGGGGGTCAGCCTATAGCACATGGACTGCAGCGCTTCAAGAAGGCAGCTCACCCCCACCTTCTCAAGGGTAACTAGGGATGGGTAATAAATGCTGGCCCAGCCCATGATGTCCACATCCTGTGACTGAATAAAAAGAGAAAATTTTTAGAAAAAGTTAATGGAGTTGGCACAGAGGGATCTGACAATTCAGCATGTGGGTAAATCACAATGTGGAAAATCTTAGGCTCCCCTCAGCAGTTGCTGATGATTTTTAACGTGTAAAGTATTCCGAGAAAAAGAATAATGTCCTTGAAAGCAATTACTGCACAACAGAACTTTAGCGATTTTTAGCATGCATAAATAATACTAATGATGCTCTTTTTTGATTTTTTTCTTTCAATCATTAATTATTAAGTGATACAATTCATGTTCATGCAATGTGCATATTCTAATAGAAAAGTAATTTCTTACATCTGTCTGCATAATCCAATTGCAAAACGGAATCTATTTACAGTAGATAGTAGGAACTGCTGATGCTAG